GAGATCGTTGGCAGCAAATCTCTTGAATCCCCCACCCAAGGATGAAATCGAACTTGCAAACCCCCAGCGTCGGCGGCCACTACAATCGGCGGCAATCGAGCGAGGTTTCCATGCCGCTTGTACTGTCTGCCGATGTCAGTTCCGTCCATCAGCTCAACAGTGTTGGAGTTCAGGGAGTTCAGGCTTGTAAACCTGGCTGTGGCGATGGTGGTCCCCACTCTGTCGCGATTCTTGATGCGTGCGAAAAACTCCCAGAAGCTCCAGGCCCTGACCACGATGCGCAAGCGGAAACACTTCCCGTCTGCTCCAAGCACATCGACGTCGGACAATTGGACGGCACCGACGATTGGCTTCGGACGCGTTATCATCTCCGGATCGAATTCAGTCCCAAAACTGTACAGCATCTTCGCAATCGACACATCATCCTCGACATCGCCACGCAGCCGACCGTAGGCCGAAGCGACGGAAACATTTTTCCAGTGCTGCGGAGTACTTACACTGCGCAAACGCGTCCACCTGTCGGACAAACTCGCTCCTTATGGCTACCGCATGGGCATCATCGTCCTTGTCTGCATCGGTGCTCCCTATGCCGTCATGACTCTTGGCGCCTGAAGCACAACCTCCCTTATCATTATCATCTTTGTCGTCCTCATGCCTCTTGTTAGCCTCCTTGTCAGTCCTTGGTGATGGCGGTGACCAGGAGCTTGCAAAGAAGGCATCAAGGAGCTCTCGAGCCCAGGGATCGCTCCTAGCAGGTTCAAAATAATTGCCCGTGAACTCTCGAGCCCAGGGATCGCTCCTAGCAGGTTCAAAATAATTGCCCGTGAACTCTCAAGCCCAGGGATCGCTCCTAGCAGGTTCAAAATAATTGCCCGTGAACTCCCGAACAAACGCCTCGTAGTCCCCATTCTTCAGCAGAGAAAGATTACCACTTAGGGAGACAAAATCCCTGAGATGGCGCATCATCTCCATGACATAATGCCAGCTGTAGTCGGCCGGGTTCATGTTCAGGTAAGCGAGCTGGAGGGGGACGATATGAAATTCGTCAACCGCGCTTCCCCGGAAGGAGGTGCGGAAATCCAGTCCCACGGAACCATGGTCATCATCATCATCATGGCGACAGGTACTAGTGCCACTCGCCCCGGGCCTACCTCCCACTGCCGTGTGTGTCTGGTCTTCATTCCTGACCTCCGATGGCGGCGGGAATACGCCGATCCGTGGGCAGAAAACAGGAGGTACTAGTGCCACTGGCGTGTGTTCTTCATTCCTCACCTCCGATAGTGGCGGGAATATGCAGAGCGGTGGGCAGGAAACAGGAAAACCGAAGATGTGTGCGCAGGAAAAAGGAAGACCGGTGTGATCCATTCCTTCTGCTGCTCACTCGTCCTCTCGCTCTCCGATGCCTTCCCGTCCCCCCAAGCTCGTCCCTTCCCTTCGCGATCCTTTCGTCGTTCCCCCCCCTCGCCTTTCTCATCCTACTCTCTTCCTCGTGCCTCCCCTTCGACAGCCTGCCGTTGAATGCCACTCACTTGACGCAGGGGCCATGCAATCTTCTCTGTATCGTTCCGATTTTAACGGATGGCCCGAAGGACAGTGCCACTCACTTGGTATGGTACTTGCACCGCTTCCACGTTTTGCCAACGAGGAACGTCCCCACCCTCACCCTTGATAGTACCTGAAATAGTCCGCTTGATTCCCCTGCTACAACTTGCACGCACAGTCGACGGTGAAATCCAGGCTGTCGACACCCAGTCAAAGGTATTCCCCCTTTTTTTTTTTTTCCCCTTTTAATTTGGACCATTTCTCGATTTATGCGTGCCATCCTTGCGCAGGGGCCATGCTAATCTTTTTTTTTTTTTTTAACAAAACACGCCCCCACATGCTAGTGGTGCTGGTAACTCTGTATCGTTCCAATTTTAACGGATGTCCCGAAGGACATTCCCCCTTTTTTGGATCTGGAGGGGGAATGTCTTTTCCCGACCGATGGAAATTATTAAGGGGCTCTCCACACAGGCTGTCGACAACCAGGGGCTAGGTCCCACTTACACGGATTAGGAGATTTCTTTTTTTTTTTTTTTCTCTTTTTTTGTTTTTTTTAATTAGGAGATTTCGGCCGTTGACCTGTGCTATCTACGGTCAGTATCTCTTAATTTGTGCAAGTGAGACCTAGCCCCAGGTTTTCAACAGTTTGGCATCCATCGCCACACCGACTTTCTTTATGAAAAAAAAAAAAGAATTGCCGCTCAAAAAAAGCTCAACACATGTAAATTCAACACGTGTCAGAATGGTACGCTGGACAGCCGCCCTCCCCCTTTCGCTTCCTCCCGCCTGAAGGAGACCGATATTCCGAAGTGCCCCACCCACCTTTCCCAAATTGGGTTCGAATCTGGGTCTCGCGGCACGGCACACGAAACGAAAACGAAACGAGTGCATCTGCCCACCAAAGGTGCCAAAATACACTCGTTACTATTTATAGCAAACCGATGAACCTGGCCGTTTTCTGCAGGAAGATGCACTCGTTTCGTTTTTCGTTTCGTGTCCCGTGCGGTGACGCCCTTTGCATTGTCAGGGGGTGTTCCGTAACGGCCGTGCCTTGTCGAGAGGAGTCCATTTGGCCATGACCAAAAACCTCGTCCCTCGACAGCCTGTGGTGAAGGCGGGGTAAACTGGTTTTTTTTTTTTTTTTTTTTTTTTTTAACGAGGGGGATAAACTGTCGACGGCTCGACAATCGAAAATTTTCTGGCAGCTGTAGAAACTCAAGGCCCTAAGTTGAAGCTAAAAAAAGCCAATGGCGCGCGCACCAACTGCCAAAGAGGAGAGTTTGGTCCTGGGACATCCGTTAAAATTGGAACGATACAGAGAAGATTAGCATGGCCCCTGCGCAAGGATGACACACATAAATCGAGAAATGGTCCAAATTAATAAAAAAAAAAAAAAAAGAGGAGAGTTTGAAGCAGTTGCAGTTTGACAACCCGGGGCCTCGCTCCACTACACAACACGACATGGTGGACGGTTTCTTGGCAAGGTGCATTTGGCGAGTCCAACATCTTGAATGCATCTGCCCCAGAAAGAGTCCAAATGCATGTACCATCTTGTGTAGTGGAGCCGGCCTGGCATGGTTACGCAGGATGGCCATGAGAGGATGAGATAGATGCGTAATACCACGGAGAAAGATGGAATAGACGAGTGAAGAACATAACCGCGGCCTGCTCAAATCCATCCGATGGTTCATACACTACGGTGACAGACCTGCAAAGATTTCTGCCCTTCAGTGGCAAACAGCACATAGATGCCTACCAACAAATGACTGGCTGATAGAGCATACACCCTTGGAACAACAAGGACGGGCAATACCCTGGTGCCACGACTGCCTTCAGAGCTACCCAGGGAGAAAACGAGCTGAGACAATAGAACACATCTTCCTCCAATGCCCGGCAACGGTACTGTTATGGAGGAGTTGGGACAGGATCTGGCGACACATTGTCCCCGGTGCAGAATGGCAATGGGAATGGAGGGCTATATTACTAGGACACAACCCCCCAATCCAGGGAAACACATTCGAGGAGAACATGTTCCATTTAGGCAGGCGGGCTGTTCTTTGGGTCATCTGGTGGAAAAGATGCATATTGGAAATAGAAGGGGCAAGGGTGGAAGAAGGAGAAGTCACGAAACAATTACGCTTGTTAATCCAACACGAAATTGCAGCCCAGTGGAAGGCAGTCAGGGATAAACTCGACCAAATGCATTCCTGGGGAGATATCAATCGGATTATCTCCCGATTCAGTCAGGACTGGTTGGGAGGGGAAAGAGAAGGATGGGTGGCTGAGGTAAGATGGTCTGGGGATCGTCAGCAAGAAGGAGAACCGCAAGAAGGACACCGGACAGAGACAGCAAGAGACTATCAGCTGATCTTCCACGAGTGGACCAACATAGATCCTGGCGATAGGTTACACCCCGCTCAAGAACTTGCAGACCCTGTGACGCCCCAACCTCACGCCCGGCGCGACTTCCTGATCGGAGTGGGATGTGGGCCTGGAAGTGCGAAAAGGGGTGTGCCAAGGATTTTTGGAAAAGTGGGGGTGGAGTCCCAGGTCGGAACTGAGATCTCTTGTGGCAAGGGTTCAGGGGCATAGATGCAATGGGACTAAGGGGCAGGTTACTTTCGATTTGATGGCGGTCGATGTCGTACAGCTTAAGGCAGATGGCATGTGCGATGCGTCAAAGGCCGTCTGATCCATCTGTTTTGGTGACGGTGGTTCGGGAGGGGCCCGTGAGGTCTGCGGCTCTTAGAAGTCGGATCCTCGGGGGCAGACACGTGGCAACTGTCGCCGCGAGTTATAGTTACGCTTTGTAGTCCCCGGGGTTCGGTGGTGGCCGCGTCGTCTGCAGTTTCGGCACGGCGTGCGGGGCCAATACGGGGCGATGAAATTCCACGGTACCACCGTGAGCTGGTGATACGAGAGGAGAAGACGGAAGGGAGGGAAGTTGGTAGTGATAACGACAAAGCCGGGGAATATGAAGTATTGCGTGTTATACGTAGTTGGGTAATCGGGGCACCTCGGATCGCTGGTTACGGCACAGCGAAACTCCTTGGGGCACAATCGGTTCTCGGTTAGGCAGGGGAATTTTGGACGTCTCTGCCTGAGTTCTTCTCTTACCCAAGGTTCGAAGTACTCTGAGTCCCATGAGTCTAACATCTTGTCATTGCGGCGTAGTGGAAGCCTTCTGCACGAGTCTAACTGGTAAGGGGATTTCTCGATGTGATATCGGAGATTCCTATCCGCTTAGATGCGTGAAGGAAGGAAAATTCCCGCCTATCAGTTTCATCAATGGTCGCGAATCGGCGCACGTGGATACGTGTAGGCTGCTCAGATCAAATCGCGCATACATGTAGCCCCGCGAGGTATTCGCATGTTTCTGGAAAAATGAGAGTCTAATTCCTCATGCAAAATCGCCACGTGCCATGGACAACTACCAAATCATTTAATCACTCAATGATCCCACAAGCAAATAGCAGGCAATGATGATGACCAGATAAAAAAAACGACAAACATATCATTCATCCATTCATTCGACAAAACACACAATAACCAAGATCAAGATCAATCACAAAACAAGTGTGGGTTGAAGCCGAGACAAGGATTCCGAAAACAAAAGAATATACAAAAGTAAAGAGGGAGACAAGACAAAGAAAATTGCAAATCCACGCCCATCATCCTCAACTCTCTCTTCCTCTCTCTCTCTCTTCGATGCGGACAGTCTGTCATTACGCACCACCCCACGAAGTCCTCACCCCGCTTAGTCCTCCTGCACCCGTCAGGTTCGCCCGCTCGCTACAGTCCGTCGTAGCCCCTTGTGTCAACCCTGCGCATTCGGCACCAGCTCGTCGGGTCGCCCGACTCCTACTTCAACTCACCTCTTACTTCGCTTGTGAGCCGACCCTCACTGATCGCACTACCCCGAGCTTCCAACCACTGGTTAAGAGAGCTATCTAATCGCGCAGCCAGAATTTATAGCGTGCATGCATGCGCGAAGAACACGGAATCGCAAGGACTTAGAAAGGAAATTAGGAGAGGGAGCGCCTACGTTCTGCATGGCCAGACCGCGGCATGGGGGACGTAGCCACTCTCCACGCATCGATCCGAGCATGCAGGCCGCGGGCTAACTGGGCACAACAAAAGGGGAAAAGAGGACAGGAAAGACGAAGCTCAAGAAGAAAGATACAGTTACAATTACGCCCGCCCAAAATTACAGTTATTTGCAAGATTAAAGGCGCCGACTAATCAGAGCTTCGTTGCAAGCGCAAAAAGAAGCGCGCAAGCAAGAGGCGTTGCGCGGTAAAATATTTTTTTTTTTTTTTTTTTTTTTTTTATAAGGAAATCCTAAATTCCAAAATTCCTATCTACTGCAAAGATGCAAAAAGCACAAATTCCGGAAAGAAAATCCGAAGTTCCAAGAGCCATCAAGGCTCCACAAGATTCGAAAAGAAAATTCAAAAAGAACGAAGCAAAAATTCCCGCGCGACCTCCGCGCCTAAACCCGACAACATAACAAGAAAGAAGCGACGTCACACATTATTATTCGCGCCTTTGTCGACGCGACAGCCACTCAATCGGCCATCTCGGGACTTGCCCGGCCCTGAACCCAGCCATTCGAAAAGATGCAACGGAAAAGAAAAGACAAAGAAGCGAGGACACCGATGCAATTTTCCCTTAATCCCGATCTCCCGTAATTGGCCCAACCTTCCCATCTTAGGACCCCTCGTTGTCGTCGCGCAGAAAATCGTGCGGAACAGAAATTGGTTCGTCACATATGTGACGCCCAGGGGGTTCCAATCTTAAGCAAGCTCCCGCTTGCTTGAATCATGACACGTGTAGATCTCTCTAATCGATCGACACACGGAGCTTTCCACGTTGCCACCAACCGTGCGAAGGAGTGCGGAAGCCATTCAGTGTGGCAAACGTGGCTCTCTCCTAAATATTCCTCAAGAAGGGCTCTCTTCAATCCAAGGAGGGGATTATTCGTGTCATCACCGTGGCACACGCCAATCAACCGTGCATCAATGACCAACGGGAAGAGGAAAGGGAAGACAATACATGGGGGCATGGCGAGGGGGTGGGTTAGTTGGGAGTGGGGGGTAGGAAGCGTTCCAACCTTGCAACTGTCACCGGAAGCTCTTGATATCGCATGATCCAGGGGAAGCGAGGGAATCGATTACCAGTATGAGGGAGGGAGGCGAGATAGTCGGGGTAAAGGGTGGTGAAAGTTCCGAAAAGTGTCGTGCGGAAGTGATCGTGGTTTTCGCATGCGGGGATAGTCCCCGTGATCATGCAGTAAACTTCGACGATGTTGTGGCCTCGCCACGCGGCACTAAAAAGAAGGGCGTAGAGGCAGAAGACAAGGGTGGCACACCAGGTGGAGGGATGGGGATGAACCGTGACAGCAAGTCGGGTGGCGTAGAAGAAGCGAAAGGTGTCGATGGGGAAGGGATTGCAGTGGAAGGTGATGCGGGTAGTGATCTGGCGGAGGGTGAGGTGGTCAAGGGGACGACGGGATAAGGACCGGGGACGAAGCCCGATGCCCCGCATCGGTACGAGATCGAACTGGTAGACGGGCGGAGGTGGAGGGGAGGGGGATCGGCTTCGTCGCCGTCGGGCCGGTGCGCTCGAAGTCTCGGCAGCAAGGTCCCCATCGTCGTTCTTGGGCGGCTCAGGATGCTTGGCTGGGTCGTTCGGGATCGGCAGATCCACTCCGCTTGCGAACTCCAGCGGCTGCTTCCTGGCTGCTATCTCCTCTCTCCTTCGCGCCGCCTCGGGATCCTCCTCTTGAGTCTCTGCGCGGTCCGGCTCTTCACCCAAAGTCTCCCACTCGGATTCCTCCTCTTCTTCTTCTTCTTCTTCCTCTTCGCCCGGCTCCTCCTCGCTGTATTCACTATAACTCCCTGGTTCTTCGGAGGTTTCCTCTTCCTCCTCGTCGCCTTCCTCTACGCCCTCTTCTTCTTCCTCTTCTGGCGTTAGCGCTTCGTCTTCAGAGGCAGTTCGAGGCTGAAAGAAGGCAAGGTCGATTATCTCCCGTGGGTCCAGGTACTGTCGTTGCGACGGCGGGTTGTTGTTTCCTATGTGCTCCTCGAGGCAGGCCGACCACTGTAGGTAGGGCGTTAAAGTTGGCGAAAGGATGTGCGGGACCGGGCTCTCGTCGCACTGCGAAACGATATCGAGAGGGAGATCGTCGACTAGCTGCACGAGGGGAATCGTAAGCTCCTGTACGATCAGCTATCGATGGCCGGGCCGCACCGATCCGAACAGAAATCCGAGAAGGTCTCCCTCCACCTCCGTCCTCCAAGCTTGGATAATCAGCAGTTCAACGTATTCGGTCCAGGCACGGTGTTCTGTGTCCCTCGTCCACGTCAGCTGCACTTCGACCAAACACACCGAAAGATCGACGAAGTGCTCGCACCACAGTTCCCATTGTCTCCGATCAAGGATGGGGACAGCAAGTGGTTCCAGACGAAAGGAGAGACGAGGGCAAATGTCAGACTGCCAAAAGGTAGGGAAGAAAGAGGGGAGAGCGAAGGTAGAGAGTTGGGAGCGGTTCATTGAGGACGCTGGAAGGGGACGAGCTCCGGAAGCACCACCGCCGGCTCGTGCCGAGCCGTCCGAAGCCCTCCGACTTCGATGCCGTCCGTGGGGACAAGATTGTCGTCGTGGCGCGTAAGCCACTGATTCCACTCCGTTGCCAGCTGCTGGCCCCACTCCCTTAGCATCGTCCGGATGGCCGTGTGTCGTAGAGGGCTGATCTCACTAATATCACCGCTGAAGAGGACGACGGTAGACACGTGGCTAATTCCTGGTGCTGACAATCGTTGAACCGCCATCGCTTCTGCCAACACGATCGCTTGACGATGGCCCGTAAATCGGAACTCTGTCGCCTCGTACACTCTGGACCCGTGGTACAGAAGAACTGCGCGAGTCGTAGAAGATCCGGACTGAATCGCGGGTGATGGACTTGCCGAATTGCCGAAATGTCGCCGCGTGGCGCCAGCATGTGATCGCCGAGAGCCCGCTCAGTGAGAAAACTCATGGCGATGGCGATGAGGACGGGGTAAGAGAAGGGTCGATAGACGCAGGAGGGGATGAAAGCGATAAAGAGTCGCCGTCTTCTTCCGTAGCGAAGGAGGAAGCAGACGCAGCTGGAGATGGAGAGGAAGGGAGAGGAAGTAGATAGGACACGTGGCGGACGATCGGTCGAGCCGATCGGCTTCCCGAGATCTCCGGCACGAGGCACACGGTGTTCACCCCGTTCGATCCGAGTTCGATCACACGAAATCGCATGAAGAATCGTGGCGCTATCTTCCCTTGGCGCTCACATTTCCTCACCTGCACCAGATCCCCTAATTTATACTGGGGCCGTGGTCTTGCGTTCCCATTTCGGGCCTCGTAGCGACGGACCTGTCGGCCGTGGGCCAACTCAGTCATTTTCTGGCGCTTTCAAGCTAATCGGGGAAGGGACCGTTCCATCAGCTCCATGTGCCGCTTGACCTTGTCCCAAACCGTGGCCCTTGTGGGCCATCGGTTCAATGAAGATTCATCGGGGAGGCTCGGTATCGAGACACAAGCTACGCTATTGGTTCGCGATTGAAAGGGGCTAAGGCCCGTCGATTCGTGAGGCGTTCCTCGATGGACCGACAAGATGTGATCTACAATATCGGGCCAGGGCCTCGGATCCCGTGTCACGATGTTTCGTCGCGGCACTGTCTTTATCACCCGATTTGCGTTTTCTATCAGGCCATTAGACTGTGACATGTGGGGTGCAGTAATCCGAATGGCGACGCCATGTACGACTAGATTCCTTAAAACTTCCCCCCGGAATTCTACCCCATTGTCGGTCAGGATTTCCTCTATGTCCTGGTGCATCCCGAGAAACCGGTTGACGTATCGCGCGATTTCGGCCGCCTGTTGCGTACAAAACGGATATGCCTCGATCTATTTCGAGAAGTGGTCTACAACAACCAGACGAATTGAATATTCACAGCTATTAGGTCCAGGGGGCACCACAATATCGGTAGTATCCATGCTAACCCTTTGAAACGGTCGTTCAACTAACAGTGGGGTTCCCGTTAATCTATTCATGCGCGTCACTAAGTGGATGACGAGGCATTGGCCTCGCCTTTTCTTCCAAGTCCGTCATCCTTGGCTGTGATCTCGAGGGGTAGTAGGTAGGAACAGTTGGAAACCCGTTAATCCATTTATGCGCATCGCGAAATTGGCGATGAGGCATTGGCTGTCTTAGCACTAGGCCGAAAACACATCTCGTCTGCCCCCTTTTCTCTCCTGCGCGTAGTCCCGTTCCCCTAGTGTGGCCGCCCGCGCAGTCTCGTGTCCCGCTTGCGCAGCCTCTTGCTGCTCATATCCCTCTCTCTCTCTCTCTCTCTCTCTCTCTCTCTCTCTCTCTCTCTCTCTCTCTCTCTCTCTCTCTCTCTCTCTCTCTCTCTCTCTCTCT